GGGGGGGGGGCGCTGGCTCTGTCCCCCCACCCTCAACCACATCTATGCTATTGAACTTGGGCTAACATCCAGAAGCCAGGGAACAGCTATTCACAAACTCAGTAATTGGAGTCATTAGCGTTGACTCAGAAATCATTTTTTTTCTAAGTCTCTCTCCTGAAGAAGCTTTTAAGACCCTCCAAATTGGTTAATGGAGAGTTTAGAGATGAGGATGGAGCCTCAGCTTTCAGCCCTCCCTGCCCATCTCCCCGGCTCTTCCCAACACACTCGGGCACAAGTCATGAGATAATCCAGGATCTGTTTTATTAAACACCATACATTTCTGGCATACCTCTCCCCAACGAGGACCTCAAAATTATACTCTCCTGCTCCAAGACTTCCATGCTCCATCTCCATCTACTCCCACATGACGGCAGGATGGTAATTACGGTTTCATATAAAATTATGGTGTGAACTGTTAGAAAAAATCCCTGGGCTGGGAGTCAGGAGGCCCTGGTCCTCATGGTGCCGGCAATTCGTAAAGCCATGTCTCCATGGGCATCGCTGTCTCTCCAGGCAGTGAAATACCCCGTCAGCCCTGTAGAGGGCAGACACCGACGCCCTTGGTCTATAACCAAGGAAACAAGGTAATAAACCAGGTGACAGGGCCAGGCAGGTGGCTGAGCCAGAATCTGAGTCTTCACACACGTTCCTCGTCACTGTGCTGGCGCAGGTGTAAGGTTTTGGAGAAAGTGGGTGGGTAACTGGCCTCATCTCTGAAACTCAAGTTATGACGTCTGAGTACCCACAGGTTCCATCTTTGGGGCTGAAGTAAGGCCTGAAAAAGTCAGCAGACATATCCAGGCACTCAGGCAAGAAACTCCTTCCATCAGCATCAAAGGTGAAAAGAAAACAATTATGAATTCATTTGGAGATGAACAAAGACGATTGCTGGAGTTAGTCTCAGGGATGACCTAATTCCGTTTCCCAAGTTCCAGACATTCATGAAGCCACCCCCAGGAGTTTTGCCACCTCCCTGAATCTATAGTTCCCGTTTTACAACGTTTTTCTTTAAGTTGATTCACTATTTTATTTTTTTTAAGTTAGCTTCATTCTGGATCTAACATTTGTAAAACTACAGGTCAATGTTGGTAAACATATATTTTATAACTACCAAAACAAAAAATACTCATTTGAATCCCACCTAAGAATCCTCTTGTGGACCACCAGAGGTACATACATCAGATGCTGGTGGACGACGGTGCATTATACGTGTGAGGAAATCAGGGGCGGGCTGTGGTATGGCAGGAAAGCTAAGCCCCAGAGGAAGGTTCCGGTTCACACCTGGAGACCTCCCTGAGTACACTGTACCCACGACCTGGGGCTGGACTTAGCTGCGGTGGAGAGCGCCATCAAGACCCTGTTGGAGGTGCTGCCTCTCTCTGTATCTCACTCTCTCTTATTCATGGAGGGAACATACTTTAAAAAAACAAAAAACAAGCGTGAGGAACCAGCAGATGGCGTAATGGTCACATCACTGGACTCCCACGTAGTTTACCGTGGTTCTAGCCGCTGACCTGGCAGCTTCAAACTCAAGCTGGGTGCATGTGTGTGTGCCCAGAATCCTGAGAGAATGGAGAAGGGATTGTGGCATGGCCATCACCCCTGGGGAGTGATTTCTCGCTTTTTGTTTCTTTGGTGAGTGCACTCACCTTATAGCAAAAAAATCTCTCCCTAAAAAAGAAAAAAAAGATTTGAGAGGGTCTGGCAGGGAGTGCTGCACTCCCACATAGTCAACTGCAGTTTGAGTCCCAGGTCTGATAGCTTGTTTTCTCACTTTCCCTCTTTCTCCCTCCCTAGTCAAATTAAAACAAACACACATAGTTAATAATAAATACAATTAAATAATTCTTCTAAAAAAAAGCATGAGGAAACTGAGGCACGAGGCAGGAGAAGGTAAGCGATTTGCTCAAAGATAAGGCTAGGGAGAACACCAGGCTCTTTGGGACCTTCAGGTGAGCTTTCCATCAATCGCTAAATGAATGCTCTGATGTACAGACCAGAAATGACCGCAGAGGCATCCTGGGCTTGTCTGTGAGGTGACTGTGTGGGGAAGGTCACAGTGGTGTATTCACGTATAATAGCAATTGCTCAGGAACCCGAGCTCCCACTGGAATTTCTACCCTGGAAAGGGAAACTGATCACCTGCTTTTGTCATTGACCTCCTGGCCCTCCAGTCCTTGGAAGGCAGCAGTGACTGTTTTATCTTACCTTAGCCAAAACCCAGTCTTACAAGACTCTTTTCCAAGGGGTAAGGGTGTGAAGAGTCCTGCTGGGGGCTCCGGGGCTGGCTCCGAGATGCCCGTTTCTGCAGAGCAGACCGAGGTTCCCTGTGCTCGAGGCGTGTGGGAGGCGAGAGGCTCCTGCCAGTAGCGTATTCAGACTGCAGAGGGAGGGGCTAGAGAAAGACTTCAGTCCCGTGACTGCCAGGTCCCTGGGCCCCGGGGCTACAAAAGAGGTGAGAGTGACTCTTACTCATGCTGCATTCTTGGGCTTGTACAGTGCAGCAGGAATGAAAGCTCTTGGTTCCCTCTAGCACGCCTATCTTGGCCCAACCCCAGTTAGTCACGAGTGAGCAGGGCTTGGAGCCCTGGAAGGGTAAATCAGCCAGCTTCAGACATTGTCTCACCTGGTCAGAGCGGCCGGCATTCAGTTGACACCTGTGTGTCAGGCCTGATAAGCCCTCTAAAATCATTTCCTTTAAACCTTATGACAACCTATTAGATCATCAAAAAGGTCATGACGTATTTTCTGTTTTCCTATGCAAAAATGCGTCATGACTTTTCGGACGTCCCAGGAATAGGTACTACAATTCCCTTTATTTTCAGAGGTGAAAAAACTGAGGCTCAAAGACAAAGAGTCCAAGGTCAGTGACAGTGAGTGCTAGAAGTCAAGTGTTTCTGACACCAGAAGCCGCGCTCTTACCCACCACTGGGGTTGGAAATGACAAAGAGGGACTGCTACAGCCCCCTTCCCTGGCACAGGGAACTGAGTTCGGGGAGAGACGCCGCTGCCCTGACGTGCATCTGTACCTGCTGTGTCCATGGAAAAGAGGGTCCGCAGCCGCTCCCGGGCAGACTTGTTTCCCAGAGCCGCTGACTGCTGGTAACACTTCACGGCCTGTCCCAGGTTCCTCTGCACGCCGAGGCCCTTCTCATAGCAAATTCCCAGGTGGTACCTGCTCTGTGAGTCCTACAGGAGAAAATGGACAGACAGACACGTGCACACACACGAGGTAGGCGTGAGGAAGAGAAATGCACAGCCGGGAGGGCAGGGTCGGGTGTGCTGCAGCTTCATCCACGCCCAGCCCCAGCCCACCCCACACCAAAGGCTCTCAACTGTGACGGCAGGGTCGTGTGACGCCTGGAAGAGCAAGGGGGCAAGGGTGGAGGCGGATCACTGCCCACAGCCCTCGTGTGCCTTCCTCAGTGTCTGGGTGAGGCGGCTGCACGGCCTAAATGACAGAAGAAGTATTTCTCCTCCTCTAAGAGGCTGAGTGCCGTGCCCCTGCTCTGGATCCTTGCTCCTCTCCTTGAGAATTCTGCTCCTCTGAGAGGCCATGTCGGGTAGGGGATGGGCACCCACCTGCACAGCCCACCCTTGGACACCAACCCTGGCTCTGCCACTCCGGCTGTGTACAGTCATGTTACTCTACATCGTGGAGCCTCAGTTTCCTCACCTGTAGAGTGGGAGTAACAACACTGCCTACCTTATTAGGTTGCTGTAAGGATTCGCATGTACCTGCAACTGCTCAATGTGCCGTTATATGACAAACGCTCAGACCTGTGCTATTACCACCATCCTGTCAGCTACCTGCCTCATGCATCGCTCCCTCCCTACTGAAGTATTTTTATCGTACTCAATCTCCCACCTTGAAAAACAAAACACTCTGTTGATTCCCAACCACAGTCTCAACCTTTCTTCTACCACCAGTTAAATTTCTGGAAAGAGTTGACTACACATTCTACACCTACTTCTGTAACATACAGGCCACAGTCTCTCCAATAAATATGGCGAACTCCTGGCTATAGGCCAGGTTACCACACGGCAAGGGCATCCGTGAGGCTGGAACACCCACACCTGCCCACTGCACAGTGCAGATGCAGACCCCGTTCCCTGTGGGTGGGTGCTCCGAGGTGGGTCCCCCACAGTGTTACGTACGGTGTGACTGATGGCCCTCTGTGCACTTTCTTCTCGGCACAGTAGTGCTCCAGGCCTGTGTAGCCATGGCCGTGCGGGCCTGCAGGGTGCTCGGTGGGTGCCTTCAGGGAAAGGCAGACATAGCAGCAGGTACTTGTCAGTGACATTGGTCCCCTCTGACAACTACCGCTGATGGAAATGGGAAAGTATTCTGAAGTCCAAGAGTTCAAAGAAGCCATTGGTGTAGTGGTCAGAAGAGAAAGGAGGGAACCAGCAGTTAGTGTAATGGCTATGTCGCTGGACTCCCACGTAATCGACTGCGGTTCATGTCCCAGACCCGGTGGCTTAGAACTCATGCCGGGCACATATGCGTGTGTGCCCAAGATCCCGAGAGGAGAATGGAGGAGAAGGGATTGCGGCGTGACCATCCCCCCTGGGGGGTGATTTCTCGCTTTCTGTCTCTCTGTCTCTCTCTGTCTGTCTGGCGAGCGCATGCACCCTATAGCAAAAACCTCTCCAAAAAAAAAAAAAAAAAGAAGAAGAGAAAGGAAACCCCTGCAGACGGCAGGGACATGCACGCTGCTTGTTCCAATCCCAGACTCCTGGCCTGGGAGGTGCATCTCGGAAACTATACCGAGGGCCAAATATACTCGAGGAAACAGCAGGCGACCAACCGACTTCTCGTTGACTCACAGCGACATAAAGCTCTGAGATTTCTTGCGTTCAAGGTAACTAACTCAGTATTGCCATTTTTTCCCTCGAATTATTTATAATCAGCCCACGGAAGCTGTGCCCCCAGTTTAAGGACAACCAGCCCTATCTAACCCTCACCCCCCAACTGCCCTGTCTTGCCTCTGCTAGGCTGCCAGCACTTGTCACGATGCACCTTCCTGGGCACAGCTCACCAAGTGCTCTCACCTGCCACTCACTCAGATTCTGATCCTCACAACAACCTTGGAAAGTCATAGACAGGAAAGGCAGACCCTATTATGCCCACTTTAAAGATGAGGAAACAAGCCTGGATCAAAAAGTGACCAGCCCAGGACTGTGCTGGTAAATGTTTAATGACTGGCTGAAGGAAAACAGCCCTGCTTTGGAGCATTTAGCAATTTTTGCAGTGCAAATACACTCCCACCACAGGCGATCTGAAGCTACCAACGCTCTCACAGGCTGGTACGAGCCAGGGCCAGCACACTGCTGGGCTTGCCCAAGGGTCCCATGGTAGGTCAGCAAGAGCTAAGCCCTGAAGCCAGCCCAGGTCTCCTATGAAATGCTCTCCTAGACACAGAACTCGGTACCAAACCCCTCCTCTTCTCAGACTTGACCCCGCAACATGCATGGATACCAGAGACTCATACCCCATTGTTGGCCGCAAGCCAGAGATATTTCACAGCTCTCTGTTCATCCAGGTACGGCTCCTTGGTGAAAAGCACCCCGAGAAAAGCTTGGGCCTGTGGTCAAAAAGGAAGCAAAAAGGCATTGAGGTCACTCTCGGCCTCCACATGCCCTAGACTATGAGGATAGACCTCCCCTAAGACACTCACCTCTGTCAAGCCCGAGTCTGCAGCCTGCTTCAGCATGGACACTGCTCTCTGCCTCTCAGGCTCCCAGGAGCAGACTGGGTTTTGCAATAGGCACCTGGCATAGCGGTACTGAGCCAGACTGTGGCCTTGGCCAGCAGCCAGTTGATAATAACAGATCGCCTGAGGCAAGGGGAGAAACGCCAGTCAGCTGGTAACTTTACAGAGCCTTTTTATTTTTTTATTTTTTAAATTTGCTAGAGGATACATGCATTCACTGAGGAGAGACAGAGAAAGAGAGAAGGAAAGTGAGAAAGCACCCCTGTAGGGGATGGTCACGCCATAGTCCTTTCTCCTCCATTTCTCCCTCCTTTTGGGATTGTGGGCCGCACACAACATGCACACACTCAGCATGTTTCTCAAGCTGCCAGGTGCAGGACTTGAATGACACAGTTGGCCACGTGAGATTTAGCCATCTTAACCCCCATGCCACTGACTGGCCCTATAAACTATAAAGCCTTTTTCTTTGAGCAAAATATTAAAAAATTATTTTAATGGGCTGGCAGGTGGCATGGTGGATAAAGGCACTGGATTCCCACATGGCTAACCACTGTTCGAGTCCCGGATCTGGTGACTTGCTTTTTCCCTTTCCCTTTCTTTCGCTCTCTTTCTCTGGTCAAATTAAAAAATGACAATAACAGAAGGAATTAAATAAATCATTCTTAAACGTGATTTTAACTACATAATCATTACAGTCAGAAAATATAGAAAAGTCAAAATTTAAAAATATACACCAAAAACATAAATATATAATCCCAAGAAATTTTGCCTTCTATAAATCATTCTGTTAAAATGATAGTGTACAGCCTTGCTGATTTCTTTCGAGACGTATATGTGTTATATACACACACATATTTATACACGTACACACAAATACGTGTCTGTGTGCCTACGGAGAGAGGAGAGAGTGAGAGAATATATTGGATCACACTACAGTGTTTTGTAACTTTTTTTTTTTTTGGAGAAGTTTTCGCTATAGGGCGCGTGCGCTTGCCAGACAGACAGAGAGAGAAAAAGAGACAGAAAGCGAGAAATCACTCCCCAGAGGGGATGGTCATGCCGCAATCCCTTCTCGTCCATTCTCCTCTCGGGATCTTGGGCACACATGCACACGCACCCGGCGTGAGTTTTAAGCCACTGGGTCCAGGACGTGAACCGCGGTCGACTATGTGGGAGTCCAACGACATAGCCATTACGCTAACTGCTGGTTCCTATGTAACTTATTTTTTTACTTAACAACACATCATGGATATCTTTTCCTGCCAATTAATTCAGACACATAGCACATCTGTTTTAAGCCCCAATAGATGTAACTAACTTGTTCTCTCTTTCTCTTTTTTCAAATAATTATTTAATTTTACTTACTTATATTATTAATTTTTAAAATTTGAACAGAGAGGGGCAGTGTGTGTGTGTGTGAAAAAGAGAAAGTGAGAAAGCAAGTCGCCAGGTCTGAGACCCATGTGGGAGTCCAGTGCCCTTAACCACCACACCAGCTGTCGGCCCCATTAACTAGTTCTCTCTTGAAGGAACTAAGTTGCCTGCCTTCCTTTTGTCTTCTTACACAACTCTAAGCAATAGATTCTTATCTACAACACCTTATACATGATGTACTTATCCCATCTTTCTAGAATTCATTCATCTATTCTTCAAGGTGCTGCTCTAGGCTCTAAGGACAGAGCTGCAAAGTAGAAAGACAAGATCCTTGTCTAAATCCCTAGAAGTTAGGAACTTTCTTATTTTTGTCTCCTAGCCAGTCTGGAACCACATCAAGGAGAGAATTTAAACTCTGCCCCATCCCAGCACAGCAATAGCCCTGGGGCAGGGCTGAGGGTGCAGTACCTTGCTGAGGTCCCTGGGGGTGCCTCTGCCATGCTCATGACACAAGCCCGTGTTGTACTGGGCTTTGCTGTAGCCGCGGTCTGCAGCTTTCTGGAAATAAGAAAAGGCCGCCGAGTAGTCCCCATTCCTCATGTTCTCTGTCCCTGTAAGAAAACACAGGACATACTCACAGCTCCCTCTGTCACCTTCCTCACATCCTCAGTCAGATACCTGCAGGCTCCTCATCAGGCCCAGGCCCCTTCCCTCCTTCCTTTTATTAAAACAATAATTATTTTATGTAACTTTATGTATTCATTTATTTCATATTAATTTGACTAGAGAGGAGCAGAGTGAGAGCAAGAGCAAAAGAGAGAGAAAGAGAAAGTGAGAAAGCCTCCAGGTCTGGGACTCGAACCATGGTTGGTCACGTGGGAGTCCAGCACCCTTAACTACCATGCCACCTGCTAGCCCTACCTTTCCTTTCTTTCTGGGCTAAGTACTTCTATTCTCCAACTATATCGATGGTTTGCCACAGACATCACCGGGTTCTGCCCTTCCATAATTCAGTCCTCCTCCTCTAGAAGTAGCATCCAGATTGCTCTTTAGGACCAACCCTTCCCCCAGTACTGTCAATCAATATCTCAGCCAGTAAGTCTCTTCCTGAGGAATCTGAACCTCAGTCTGCTTGGGACAGGAGGGAAAATTGCTCCTGTAGGCTTATTCTGACAAAAGCGCTCTGGAGAAGCTGTCGATCTATCCATCGCTGCCCTGGATCTCGAGCTTCCCTGATTCCGGGCCTTTTTGAGTCTTGGAAGGTCTTCAGAATCCATCCGACAGATCCCTTTTATACTGAAGTCAGTCAGAGCAGGTTTAGGTTGCTCATAACCAATACAGCCTAACTAAGATGGGCGACACTGTCAAGCTTGTTTTATGAGGAAGCTGGGAGTGGTAATTGATATAAAAGAACCAAGACCTGAATCCAAGTGTATCCAACTCTGAAGCGCAGGCCTTTCTCAATGCCCAAATGTAAAGGAAGTTAAGAGTGCAGTGGTGAAGGGAGGCAGACCCCGCCTGGCAGACCCCACCTGGTTCAAATTCCAGTCTGGCCTTGAAAAACACACTGGGCATGCATGCACCCCCAAATCCTAAAGGGATGGAGAAATGGAAAGAAAAGGATTGTGGCATGACCATGCCCCACTGGTGGAGGGTGCTTTCTCTCTCTCTCTCTGATAAGCACATGCGCTACTGGGCAATTAAGATGAAATTTTTAAAAAGGAGCAGGACACAGCCAAGTCTCAAGTGTCAGCCGTGGCTCAAACTGCCTGGTTGTCTCTTGCCACCTCTACCACCAGCCCTCCCATCCCGTTTCTGCCCTTGCACCTTCAGACCACACTTGGGCTTTAAATATTTTTTTAAGTACTTACTTAATATACTCAGCCTTTTTCTATGGACTAAACTGTGTCAACAGTACAAGTCCTGTCTCCTCAATTAGACTGTAAAATCTTGGAGGTAGAAGCAGAAAAAAAAAATGTAGCAGGAAGTCTTCGCATGGGGTGAAAGCTCTATACAAATGCAAAATGCGATTAAGGCTGCCGCTGCCTTTGTATTCTGCCACAGTGCTTAGCGCTTGCTGAATACATGAATATATGAATGAAGGGATGGGCAAGACAATTCTGAGAGGAGACTGTCTACCCGTCAAAGTCACAAAAAGCTAATGAGGTAGAAGCCAGGTTCCATTCAGACAATGGTGAATTAAAGTCACCTCCCTGGCTGCCTGAAAACTTGCTGTCCAGGGTACAGATGGCCCTGTCCTTGGGGAGAAGACTCCAGAGGGCAAAGGATGCCACCTGTCCCCATTCTCCACTCCAGCTTCATCCATGCACGCTGACTCATCTCTTCTTGGTCTCCTCCGTCACAAGTTCCTTAGCTTCCTCTGCACCTCTACAATCCACATCAGTCTACACAACAGCCAGAGCACCTCTGGAAGACAACGGATCATGTGACTGCCCCTTCTTGCTCCTGCTTAAAACTCTCCAATGGCTTCTTCTCTTAGAAAATCCACACTCTTTACCATGGCTCAGAAGGCCCCACCTGATCTGGTCTCTGCCTGCTTCTCTGATTTCATTTGCTTCCATTTTCCCTACTCCCCAAGATCTCGAAGCTACACTTACACTCACCTCTTTTTATTTATTTTTATTTGCTAGAGGGTGTGCACTCACCAAGGACACAGAGAGGACGGGAGAGAGCGAAAGTATCCCCCATGAGGATGGGAACACTGCAATCGTTCCTCTCCATTTCTCCTTTCGAGGTTTTTGGATATGAACGACTAAGGTTTAAGCCATAGGGAATGTTTTGCACTCACTAGAGAGACAGAGAGATGTAAAGTGAAAAAATCACTCTCCCTGGGGGTATGGCCATGCTGCAATCACCTCTCCCTTCTCTTTTCAGGATTTTGGGCACGCACACACATACTCCCAGCTTGAGATTGAAGCCACTAGATCCAGGACTAAAACTGCTGTTAGCCATGTGGGAGTCTAGCACCTTAACCACCACACCACCTGCTGGCCCCCTCATTGTGTGTGTGTGTTTTAAAGATTTAGTTAATTTTATTTATTATTATTTTTTAATTTGACCACAGAGAGACAGAGAGAAAAGGAGAGTGAGAAAGTAAGCCACCAGGTCCAGGACTCGAACCACAAAGACACCTGCTGCCCCCTCCCTAGTGTGTTTTTCTAAACTGCCAGGTCTGGGATTTGAACGGCACAGTTGTTTGTGTGGGATCCATCTGAACCGCACCACAGCTGGCCCACACACTCAACCAGCTTTTTTTCTTTCTTTCCTTTTTTCCTCTTTTTAGAGATTTTTGCTATAGGGCGCGTGCGCTCACCAGAGAGACAGTCAGAGAGACAAAAAGCAAGAAATCACCCCCCAGAGGGGATAGCCAGGTCACAATCCCTTCTCCTTCATTCTCCTCTCAGGATTTTGGGCACATGCGCACACATGCCTGGCATGAGTTTAAGCCGCTAGGTCTGGGACTCAAACCATGGTCAACTACGTGGGAGTTCAGTGACGTAACCACTACCCCATCTGCTGGTCCCATACACTCAGCTTTCTTTTGTTCCTTTAACAAACAAAATACAACCCTGCCTGGGACCTTTGTACTTGTTCCTCCCACTTGGAAATCTCTCTCTCTAGATAGAAGTAAGAGTGGCTTTTTTTTGTCAGGCAGGTCTTAGCTCAAGGGTCTTCCCTTCAGTGAGGACTTTCAAATCAAAAGTTGTTCCCTGGCCACGTCACTAACACATTCCCTTGTTATTTTCGTCATAACACTTATCTCCATCTGACATTCTCCTTCTTGTTTGCCAATTTATTGTTTTTCTCTTACAACTCAAATGTCAGCTCTAGGAAAGTAAGGACTTTGTCTTATGAATCACTGTATCCCCAGCACCTAAAATAGGGTCTAACAAAAGGCAAATGCTCAGTAAATTTGTTCTGAACAAATCCCAGCCTCTCAGCCACCTGTCCACTAGACCCAGTAGATGCTGCTAGGAGTCTGGGTCCACATTAGAAGGCCTGAAGCCTTAGCAAGCTACTGCAGAGACCAGGACAAATGGTGTCTCCAGATGAGGGTGGGAGGTTCCTATTCACGCACTCGAGGGAATGCTCTGAACCTCAGGAACCTGTGCTTTCCTAAGTTGGCAGAAATACTAGATGTCCTCCAAGATTTATTTCCTCCTTCTCACACAGTAGCAGAATTTTCAGGGAGAGCACAAAGTCATTTAGGTGGAATCCATTTCCCAGCCTCCTTTGCAATTAAGAGTGGCCATAAGCCCACATTCTGAACAAGAATCTGTGCAGCTTTGAGGTCATAAAAGGAAAGATCCTTTATCCTACAGGTCCTTTAGCTCATCGACCTTCCACGTCCAGCCACCTAGAATATAGATACAGAGGGTGTGTGTGTGTGTGTTTTAAAGATTTAGTAATTTTATTTATTATTATTTTTTAATTTGACCACAGAGAGACAGAGAGAAAAGGAGAGTGAGAAAGTAAGCCACCAGGTCCAGGACTCGAACCACAAAGACACCTGCTGCCCCCTCCCTAGTGTGTTTTTCTAAACTGCCAGGTCTGGGATTTGAACGGCACAGTTGTTTGTGTGGGATCCATCTGAACCGCACCACAGCTGGCCCACACACTCAACCAGCTTTTTTTCTTTCTTTCCTTTTTTCCTCTTTTTAGAGATTTTTGCTATAGGGCGCGTGCGCTCACCAGAGAGACAGTCAGAGAGACAAAAAGCAAGAAATCACCCCCCAGAGGGGATAGCCAGGTCACAATCCCTTCTCCTTCATTCTCCTCTCAGGATTTTGGGCACATGCGCACACATGCCTGGCATGAGTTTAAGCCGCTAGGTCTGGGACTCAAACCATGGTCAACTACGTGGGAGTTCAGTGACGTAACCACTACCCCATCTGCTGGTCCCATACACTCAGCTTTCTTTTGTTCCTTTAACAAACAAAATACAACCCTGCCTGGGACCTTTGTACTTGTTCCTCCCACTTGGAAATCTCTCTCTCTAGATAGAAGTAAGAGTGGCTTTTTTTTGTCAGGCAGGTCTTAGCTCAAGGGTCTTCCCTTCAGTGAGGACTTTCAAATCAAAAGTTGTTCCCTGGCCACGTCACTAACACATTCCCTTGTTATTTTCGTCATAACACTTATCTCCATCTGACATTCTCCTTCTTGTTTGCCAATTTATTGTTTTTCTCTTACAACTCAAATGTCAGCTCTAGGAAAGTAAGGACTTTGTCTTATGAATCACTGTATCCCCAGCACCTAAAATAGGGTCTAACAAAAGGCAAATGCTCAGTAAATTTGTTCTGAACAAATCCCAGCCTCTCAGCCACCTGTCCACTAGACCCAGTAGATGCTGCTAGGAGTCTGGGTCCACATTAGAAGGCCTGAAGCCTTAGCAAGCTACTGCAGAGACCAGGACAAATGGTGTCTCCAGATGAGGGTGGGAGGTTCCTATTCACGCACTCGAGGGAATGCTCTGAACCTCAGGAACCTGTGCTTTCCTAAGTTGGCAGAAATACTAGATGTCCTCCAAGATTTATTTCCTCCTTCTCACACAGTAGCAGAATTTTCAGGGAGAGCACAAAGTCATTTAGGTGGAATCCATTTCCCAGCCTCCTTTGCAATTAAGAGTGGCCATAAGCCCACATTCTGAACAAGAATCTGTGCAGCTTTGAGGTCATAAAAGGAAAGATTCTTTATCCTACAGGTCCTTTAGCTCATCGACCTTCCACGTCCAGCCACCTAGAATATAGATACAGAGGGAGCTGGAATGGCCAAAGCAGACCTCAGGGCAGAGACAGTTTAAAAGGTGATGGGACACATTTGACCGAGAATGGGTCCCTGACATCATTGAGCCACCAAACCAGGTTTCGTGTACCTTCCAAGGAGAAAATGAAATCTTTCTCATTTAAATCATCCCATACCCTTTCCATTTTCCCATCCTCCTGCCTCAAGGCAGGGTCCACCCAGTTACCCAGGAAGTTGAAAGCGATGGAAACAGTGAGCTGGAACAGCTGCTGAATGGAATTCACAGCCTCCTCAAGGGGAAGAGTTTTTGATTGATCTTGTCCCTGGGGAAGAAATGCAGACTCATCAAGGGATGGTATTTTGGGATTGCCACCTGCCCAGAGGAACGTTACAGGGACCTAAGTAGCCAAATGTGAACAATACCTTCCTATCCCCAGCAGGCCCAGACTGGGCTGGTTCTGCCTTGGTCTCGAAGCTACTGCTGGCATGCAGGAAGGCAAAATCCCCGGGACCTGCAAGGGGAAGGCCGACGGCCAGCCAGGGCCAAGGACAAAGATGTTATTTCTCTTTGCTTCTGTTCTCCCAGTCAACCTGACCACCCCATCCAGCATTTACATTTCGCAGATTTGAGTCCGTGGGGACATACCTTCCTCAGAGGGGTCCTGAAGAACAGCTGCTCTTGCAGAGCTGTGTGAGGAGACGTGCTTAGTCTGAGTTGCTGGTTCTTCTCGGCGGCCCCTGGCTTCTCTGAGGCCCGTGTGCTGGGGAGCTGGGCTATCAGGAAAGGGGAGAATGTGCCTCCGCAGCGCTAGAATGAGCCAGCAAGAGTGGTCAGGTCAGAAGGGGATCAGTTCAGTCTACTGAGGGTTGCTGAGTCCTCCTTAAGGTTGTGAAGAGCACAGGAAGAAGAGCGAAACTGCTTCATACTCCTCCTCCTCCATTTCTTTTGCTGGTTTCTTCCTCGGGGTACAGGAGGAGCCCATATTTATGCTCACCTCCTACCCTATGCACGAGTCTGCTGACTCCTGCAGTGGCAAGGATGTGCCTGCCTTACTCCCTACTATAGCCCCAGCACCGCTCTTTGGCTGACAGTGATATTTTGAAGGATTATAATCATAAAAATAAGAACAAGGACCAAGACTTAAACTAATAATGATCAGGCACTTACCATGTGCCAAGCACTGTTCTCAGTCCTTGCCATATATTAACTCATTTAGGCTTCCCAAGATGCCCACAGCATGGCTTTATTATAACCTTGTTTTACAGATGAAGAAACTAAGCCATAGGGAAGTTAAAAGTGACTTGTTCAGATCGTCAGACTAGCATGCGGCAGCCTGGAAGCCTGACTACTGACTACAGAAACCCAATCACTAGGCTATATTGCTTCTGTACCACGGCGTGTGGTAGCCCACAGTAAAGCTTCGTTTACTGATGAATGACTAAATGACCAGAGAACGACCTGGCTGAGGGCTAGGCAGGAAGCCACGCCCAGGGTCTGGACTATGGGGCTCCCTCCATGGGAGGTGATGGGAGGACATGGCAGGACACTGAGGGGCAGGTGTGGCTCACACCCTGAGTGGACAGACTTCCTCCATTCCCCTTCCTCTGACTTCAGATAGGAAAGGCAAGGAGCTGCTGATGGCTCTTTTCCTGAGGTGTGTCCAGAGATGCTTCCTGGCCCAGAGAAACTCCCAGCCCAGCCCTCGTGCCCCAAGACTGAGAACTCACAGGAGTGCGAGCGCCACAAGAGAGATGAGAGGAAACGGTCCAGGGGCCTGTGCCAAGAGCTGTGCTCCACTTGCCGAGGTCCTGCTGGCAGGGACGCCTGGAAGTGGATCTGCCTCGCCAGCTGCAGGGCCAGCACCGTCAGAGTGCCCTGGGAAAGGCAGCAGTCAGGAGTGTGGCCCTCCTCCAGTCAAAGCCTCAGACCCAGCCTCCAGCTCAAACATTACTCCCTCGGGAAGCCTTTCCTGACTTCCTGGCAGGAGCAGCTCCCCCGACATACACTCTCATAGCACCCGAACTTCTCCACTGCAGTCCTGATCACCCTGGTACTTAAGTCATCATTTCTACAGCTGTTCCTCCAAGGCCTGTCTCTCTTGGCAGTCTCCAAGCTTGATAAGGGGAGCGATCACGGAAGTTTTGCCCACCAGTGTGTTCCTGGTGCCTGCCCAGGAGTGCTAAGATGTAGGGGCCTAGTACATAGATGCTGAATAACACACAAGTGAGAGCCTCATTAACAGTCTCAGCAGGCTGAGAGGTAAAAAAAAGTGGGTGAGCTCAGGGTTAGTCACAAACACAGCACTGGTCAGAGGTCCCCATCACACTCTCCAGTCTGGTATGACTCCTCCCTACCCCCTTGCCAAGCCACCCCACCACATGTATGTTCAGGTGTGAGCTGGTGAAGGAGTCACTTCCCTGCCAGGTCTGCAGAAGACAAGCTAGCTCTCACCCACGGCAGCCTGGTTTTCTCTGTCTCTACCTGTGCTGCACTTAGGAAGGGACCCAAGTACTTGTTTATTGCAAAACGTCGACAATGGCAAGTAAGAAATAGTCTCCGTTCTCATAAAGTTTATATCTTGCATTGAGAAAGACAAAACCCAAACACAGAAATAAATATAGTAACCACTAGTTAGCTAAAGGCTAAGACGGAGCACTGGAAGGATGCCTGATAAGACCAGGAGTCACAGAGAGCCTCTCTGTGGGGTGATGTGGGAGTTAAGGCCAGAAAAAAGAGAAGGCATCAGCAATGTGAAGAGCGGAGACAAATGTCGATGGCACTAGGGACAGCTGGTGTCCGGGTGCTTTCATATGGGCGGAAGTGACAGCCCAGGGATGGCATCAGGACCTCCGGAATCCCAACCCACTTCCCAAGAATAATCACTATGGGACTTTCCTAGGGCTCAGATCTTCTTTGGCAAAATGAGCAAACACTCCCCTCTACAGGGTGTGTAAACTGATGTCATCAGCAGAGCTGAGCTGATGGGGTGGGTGATAGCTCTGAGACGATGGAACTGCATTCCAAATCCTTACCAGCAGAACCTTTACCAAGAACTCCGCCTGGAAGGCACAGATTATGTCCTATTAGACCTACTATTTGCTGCTGAGCATCTGACTTTATAGAGCAGATCAACAAATATTTATTGAGCAACTATTATGGGCTAAGCTCTGTACTAGTTGTTTTATAAGCCACACTCGCTACAGCAGCCAGACTATGCAGCATAAACTTGACAGGTGGATCTGGCTCCTTCACTTAACTGCTGTGCGACCTGAAGCATGTTACCAAACATTTCAAAGGCTGAGTTTCCCGGTCTACAAAAGACTATTTCCTTTGCATGATTTCTGTAAGATGAAATATAATACTGTATGTATAGTACTTTACAGTGATAGATATTGCTATTTATTAGCTATTTACTATTACTTATTATAAGATCCACGAGGGCAAGCTCACCTTAATCTTTGCTCTGTCCTTAGTCCCACAGCCTAGTGGTTAAGGGAGCCAGATCCCACATGGCCAACTGCAGTTCCAGTCCAGTCCCAGCTGCTTGAAAAACATGCTGGGTGTGTGTGTATGTGCATGGTCACAGTCTCAACAGGACAGAGAAATGAAGAAGGGATTGTGGCATGACCATGCCCCAGTGGGGGTTGCCTCTTCCCTCTTTCTCGGGTTCTTTGTCTCTTTTTGGTGAGCACATGTACCCTCTAGCAATTAAAAAAAAAATGCCTGGAGGCCACAGGTGGCATGATGGTTAAGGTACTGGACTCCCACATGTCCGACTGTGGTTTGAGTTCTGGACCTGGTGGCTTGCTTTCTTACTCCCTCCCCACCCCGTTTCTCTCTATAGTCAAATTTAAAATAATAATAAATAAAATGAAATAATTCTTTTTTTAAAAAAAAGTGCCTGGCTCACTGAAGGTGTTAAATAAATGTTTATTGAATGAAATGAGAGATAAATACATAGCAAAAGGGTAGGGGCAATATTCCCATGAATATTTCAATGCCACAATGTGAACACAGTTATGCCTTAGCTCTTGTTTCTGGGCTAGTTTATAGCTCCACGCAGGGTCACTATCATCGACACTGAAGGTCAAGGACAGGGGTGGGATAGCCTTACCCAAGATATGGCATCACACAGGGTGTTTGAGGAGACATGGGCAGACATCCACTGGAAAGCATCCTTCCATCCACGGGACCTTGGGCCCCTGTTTGCGCCTGGGCCATAGGAGCCAGATCTGGATGATGCAAATAGCAGGTGGTCAAGTTCTGCTGAAAGTGGGGGCAAAGGAGGCCATCCCTGTAGCTTGGTGAGTAAGGTGGCTGATCCCACATGGCCAACTGCATAGTCCAAGTCCTGGACCCAGAGCTCGCAGCCAGAACAGCAAGGCCATACCACAGGACGGCCGTTAGAGCGGCCACAGCAGTGCCCCAAGTGATCAAGTCCCCAGGGAGCTCTCAGTCAGCCAATCAGAATGGAGTCCAATCGGAAGGACGGTGTGGGGCAAGAGGAAGTGCCTAAGAAGCACACCAGGCACATGTATGTATGTGCTCAGAATCCCAAAAGAAGGGAGAAAAAGATAAAGGATTGCAGTGTGACCATACCCTATGGGGGGGAGGAAGTGTGCTTTCTCACTTTTTCTCTCTTTCTGCCTCTCTCCAGCAAGTGCACACACCCTCTGGCAAAATAAAAGAAAATGGAGATGGGACTGGCAGATGGAGTAATGGTCACATCACTGGATTCCCACGTAGTTGACCATGGTTCAAGTCCCGGACCTAGCAGCTTAAACTCACACCAGGTGCATGTGTGTGTGCGCCTGAGATCCTGAGAGGAGAATGGAGGAAATAGGATTGTGGCATGGCCATCCCCCTGGGGGGTGATTTCTCGCTTTCAGTCTGTCTCTCTGGTGAGCACACGTGCCCTATAGCAAAAATATCTCTCTAAAAAAAAAAAAAAAAGTGGGGGCAAAGAAAGACCAGGGCAACAAGACAGCAGTTCCTCACCTGTCAAGGCTGGGCACAGGGAGCAGCAGGCCAGAGGAGGTAGCCTGAGTCCCATCTGAGCTGGTCGACTTGGGTGTCAACCCCCGGAGGCCAGGTCCCAGCAGACGGGGAAGAGCTGTGCAGAGCAACAAGGATCAGTCACCTCAACAGAACAGGACTGGGGCAAAGGAGGTCCAACAACCTTCCCTCTGACCTGTCACTGAGTCCTACTCCCTAAGCCACTGGCATCTGCCTCTGCAGTGGTTCTTAAACAAGGGTACCGATGGGGCTTTTTTGCCTAGATGCTGGGGTGCAACTCCTGAGTAACAAACCAGGCTCTCTCAGTGTGGAGCATCTCCATCTTCCCCATGTGATTCTGATGCCCTCCCAAGGCTGACAGTCACTGTTCTACGACCATTTACGTACTAATTATCGTCCAGTGTCTGGAGCGCTATACCTCTAAATCCCGCCTCTCCGCGATGGCTCCGCCTACTCCACGGGCCCTAGCCCGTTCGTTGACCCCGCCCCCTTAATAACCACGCCCGTCTCCTTTGATGTAAGCTCCACACTCCTCTCACTAGCCCCACCCAACGGCCCCTGACTTCTTGGAAGTACCCCCTTAAGGCCCGCCTTCCTCAGCTCTAACCCCAACCTGCCTCCTCGACCTCCTCGCCCCTCCAAATCTGAGCCTCAGCGGCCTCAAGAAGCTCGCCGCCCGGACGCCCCTTACCTCGGCCCAGGAGCCCAGGGAGGCGCCACATGTTGCTACAACCATAGAGAGCTCGCAGCCGGAACAACGAGGCCAGACCACGGGACGGCGGCTAGAGCGGCCGCAGCGGTGCCCCAAGTGACCGAGTCCCCAGGGAGCTCTCAGCCAATCAGAAGGGAGCCCAACCGGAAGGACGGTGCGCAGCGAGAGGAAGTGGCCAGGGTAGGCGTGTTTTGGGCCGGCGGGGTGTTGGTCTGCGGCAAGGACAGTTGGAAACAAGCGGGGGCGGTGTCCTTTGCCGCCCTCACAGGAGTGGGGCGAGGCTGAGCAGCCCAGGAGCAGGGCTACTGGGAGCTGGAGGACCTTGCAGACACCGGAGCCGCGAAAAAGGCAGTCTTTTTAGTTCCCGAGGCCGGAGGTGGTGGGAGTTACCACGCTCCGTGGGCGGCGGGGAGGAGCCTTAGAGTCCAACGAAAGAAACCAGTAGTCCGAGCTTCCTGTTGAGGCCATCGCTGGAGATGCCAGGCCCGGGCCCGACTGCGTAAACTTGAAAAACCACGGCAGCAAGGTTTTAATCGCGGGGTTCTAGCTCCAGCCCAGCCCTGTCTCCCATGTGTAGCCTCAAGCCGACCTTTTCACTCGCCTGAGCCTCAGTTTGTAGCCCATCAGGATAGGGTCTGATGGAATGATCTCGACTGGTCTTTCCTGTTGTGACAGGCCGAGACTCGAGTTAGTCCTTTCGAAATACCGAGAAGGTAACAGTCACCCCCCACCCAAATCCCACACCTATTAATCAGAGCCCTCATCTTTAGACCTAGCCAATATTATGTACGTGTCCTTTTGTGGAAAAGAATAGCTCTTTGATCAGACTTGAACTCATGAAATAAAGGAACTCAACTTCAGATTTGAGATGTTTAGACTTCCTCGTTCTCCTCCTCCGCCAGGTATCAGACTTGTCGGTGATGAAAAACCCAGGCCTGTGGCATGAGAGTTGTATTAATTTATTAAACAATTGTGGACCATATGTCAGCCACCATCCTAGGAGCTGAGAAGACAGTGAATAAAGATTTGTGGACTGCAGGAACACACAGTCCAGTGGCTTAAGAGTGGGCTCTGGAATCCCGCATACGTAGGTTTGAACCCCAGCATGCTTCTTTTTTTTTTTTTTTTTTTTTTTGCCATGAATGAGAGAGACGGAGAAAGAAAGAGAAAGGTAGGGGCAGGCACCTTTAACAGGACCGTCATGGTGTGATCCACCACCAGCCACTG